ATACAAACTGCCAAGACCTTGACGTACATCTACGACAGACATAGTTGTCGCAGCAATTTCACGTGACGTACACAGACCAGTCACGCAATGATCCAAAGAAAACTAGACTCGAGTGCATTGCGGTGACATTATTAATGGGAAATTCGAGAAGATAACGTTTGTTGAATTGTTTTAAATTATAATAAACCGGCTTTGAATTATTTCTACACATGTAAAAAGAAATGCGGGGATTGTCGCTTGGTTGCCAAGTTTTGCAAGTGTTCACATAGACATGCATTTTTACAAGGGGAGATTACACCAGAGATTTCTTTATTTCTTCGTGGTATATATTAATAGTTTTTAAAATTTGTTTATTAATTTTATTATGTTCTTATTGTGCTCAAACTGCTCTATAAATATTATTAGAATTACTATTTTACTACAGTTCTACACAATAAAAAGTGAAAAATCAATCAATCAAACTAAGCATAAGAGCGTAAACTATTTACCTACTAATATATCAGGCGAGTTTGCGTCTATTTGTCGCTGCTTGAGGAGAGAGAATTGGAGCTTGGACTTGCTCTAATTGGTGGTTTTAAATCACATGACTGAAGATGTGGTGGGTGGCAGTTTGTATTGCAGTGTGGAGAGCGAGTGTTTTTGTTTTGATTCAGATTAAATTATTTCAAAATGTTGTCTGATCTTTTATAGTTTTTGTCTCGATTTTACTAATTTTACTAATTTATTATTTTATTATTGTGGTGCACATGTGGAGCCCTGTCAAAATATCACCTCAATTAAAAATTTTTTAGGGGTCGCTAAAGATTTTTAAAAACTTCCAAAATCGTCAAAAATTGAATTTTTGTTTTATTTTAATTTTTTTTCTCGTCCCGATATTGTTTTCTAGGTTGAAAATAACAAAAATTCTGTAAATTTCAAATCGATATTTTGATTTCTAAAGGTCGCTAAAAGATCGTTATTATTTATATTCAGAGGTCGCTCGAAAACAATCAAAATTTTCTACTTTGAAAATTTAAAAAATCTCGAGCGATCTTTAGAAATCAAAATATCGATTTGAAATTTTCAGAATCTTTATTATTTTCAAATAGAAAAATATTATCGGAACGAGAAAAAAAATTAAAATAAAAAAAATTAAATTTTTGGGTATTTTGGAAATTTTTAAAAATCTTGAGCGACCCCTAAAATTTTTTAATCAAACTGATCTTATATAATATATAAAATATTATATATTATATAATATTTTTTTAAAAGTTTTTAATTTTAAATAATTGAAACGCCTTTTTTGAGAAGAAACGAAACTAAAAAAAGACAGATGTTGGGTATTCATCCAACTCCAAAAATGTTATCAATATTTAACAATAAGAGGCAGGGTAAGCAATATTCATAAATATCTTGGTACGAAACCTATAGAGCTGTTGTAAGTACCAAGAAAAAGTAAAGGTATACCTTTACTTTTTCTTGGTCCTTAATAAGGACTCCTTATTATATATTAAGTACAAGTTTTTTTTAATACGAATCAAGTACCAGTACATCAAGTCAATTTACTTGAATTATCCAAATTTAAGTACCATATTTCACGAAAATCAGAGTCAAGTTTAAGTATTTACTTAAACTTGCGAACTTAAAATGATATTTACCTACAAATACTTTAAAACATAATTTAAGAATTTTTTATTTTTAGTAATGTTCGGATTAAACTAAAAAATTAAATTATTGCTTATCGATAAACTTAATATGGGATATTCAGTATAGGCGAAATATCCGAATAATGAAACAAAATAATAAGTTATTGTATCTTTTAACACCTTAATATTTTTTAAAAATAAAATTGTAGGCACATAAATAAAATATTTATAAAAAAATCTACTTACTGAAATAATACACTTCACATGGAAGAGGTTTTTAAATAGCAAATTAATGAACTTAACCTTTTGAATTATAAAACAGCAACACTCTTATCTGCATATAAATTCTAACTGATCTATAATGTCGTAAACAGAGGTCTTTGCTTATTTAAAATGATTAAAGCGCCATCTGTTGCATAAAATTTAAAGTAAAAACAGATTCACGGAGGATAGAATAAATTTTTGTAACACCTACGTAAATGGTTATAAAAATTATTTCTTTTATTTTTTAATAATATTTTATATTTGATTCGATTGCTTTGGATGTGTTTAATTTACTTACCCAGATAACAAAATGATGTCACTGTGAAATCACAATAAGCGCATTTTCGATCACGCGTGAGACTCATGTGTATAACATATGCGTCCTCACATGTAGATCACAGTGAATTCACGCGTGAGAAATAAATATCACAAAGCAGTCATAGTGATATCATGCGTGATATTTTAAGATAATTTTTAGGTTCTTATTTATACAAAAAAAAAATCAAGTAATTTTTTTTATTTATTTCACAAATTGACAGTTATTTTTCATCGAGAAAAGGTTTATTCCATGACTTATATTTCTTATTTGATTCTTCAATTTCAGATTCAGAAACTTCCAACCTATCTGATCTTGACTCAGAATCATCGTATTCTGAGGTAGCATCAAAGTCACATGACATTGCTTCAGAATCAGAATGTGCAGAATCTGACTTTGATAACGGAGTTGAATGATCTTTTTTCTTATTAGATGTTGATTTTGAACAAGAATTCGTTTTTTTCATGCGATTCCGTTTTTTGGGTTTATCTCATTCTTGTTTAAACTATTCTTAAATCTTTGTTTTGTAGCTCTAAACACTTCTAAAAGTTCGGTTTTGAATTTTTCTTTTGTTAAGGGACCAGGGTAAGAAGTAACTTCTACCGCAATATCTGCAAGACAAACAACATGGTGTAATGAACAATATTTGACTATATCTTACGTACTATATAGAATATTTTTTATATTATAATACTATGTTTTACAAAAGTTTAGCAAACGTTTAGTCACAATTGTGCGTTTAGTTAATAATATACCTAGTAGCACATAACCTTAAAACCATCAACTCGTAATCCAGCGTTTTCATTAAATTATAATTATTCCACTTACCTGAATTTAGTAGTTATTAAAAAACTCGTTTTCAAGGGTTCCTTTTGTTATTTTCAAAGATATTTTAATATGTATAGTAAATATAGGCACCATAAAACCATCAAACAAATGCACACAGAATTCTGATAAAGATTGCGCGGCACGTGTTTGTTATCAGCGTTGCCAGGTCGCTTTCATGAAAAAAGCGGGAGATTCAAATAAAAAATGATGGTTTTTATTTTAAATACTCCGCAATGTACTTTTAATATTAAACTTTAACAAACAAAACAAAACATAAAAATATGACGAACATAACAAAAAAATATATTCTATATTAGAAGAGATATCAACTTGCACATGCCATAAAAACTTAATTAAACATTGTCAAAAATAAGAATCTTTGGTAACAAAAAATTAAAATATTTAACGGATTCTTTATCTGAATCATGGCGAATCATAAATTGTTTTATAAAATCTATTTCGCATTGTTTTATAAAATCTATTTTGCAAATAAAAATTAATTTTTTATTCCAATCAGCCTTTTGGTGTAAAGACATCCCTTAATTGCCTTGGTATCCAATCAATTACGTGGTTTTGTCTTTATGTTATTTATCAATTTTATTTATAAGGAGAACTGCAAAAAGCGGTAGATTTGCCGCTACAACGGGAGACCTGGCAAAGTGTCGATCATTGACTTTGCGCTGATACAATTATGCGCGTGCGCCCCATGCGCACGTGAATTTTGGTTTCAATGTTTTTAAAGTTATTTCATGTCACGCATGAGGAAAATATGTGATCACCGTGATATCACGTGTGACATTTATTCATAATATTTTTAAAGTTATTTTCATGTCGACATTAATCAATGCAATGCCTAACAATAGTTAGGCAATGTATTGACATGAAAATAACTTTATATAAGTATAGAATAAATGGCACACGTGATATCACGGTGATCGCATATTTTCCTCATGCGTGAATATGTAGAATAAATATCACACGTGATATCACGGTGAACGCATATTTATCTCATGCGTGAAAATCATGTTGTGACTAAAACGTGAAAATCACGTTTGTTATCTGGGTAGTGAACTGATATTTTTAGTATGCTTTTACTACCTAAGATATTTGAAAACATATAGGTTAACCTAAAAAGAGTAACAGTCACGGAGGATAGGTTTTAGACTTTAGTAAAAAATAATTAATTACGGTTACAAATCTGGAACCTGAGCTGTAATATCTATGAAAGATCAAAACACAATAAAAGTGTAGGTCAAACTCATTTAGTTTTATTAAATATCACGGGGTAACACCTTTGGGGGACATTTAGTGAGATTCGCCCATATTTTAAGGTTTTAAAAAACGAATGTATGTTAATTTGGGTTAGGATTGATTTAATATTTTCTTTTTTTTGTTTTTTTAGTTTATTTTTTTATTTATAATGGTTTAGTAGGGCTATCGGCCCTTTTAAAAAAGGTCAACGCGTCGCAGAAAAATACCTCCCGGGGACATGGAAATTTATTCGTATGGCTATAGCGGTAAATAAATTCGTTGACGAGTACGTGTAGTTGCAAAAGCCGTGGTTCGGGCAAGTTATATCCCGTAACCTCCGACATCCGTCAGATAAAGTTTAGTAGCGTTTCGCGTTCGTTAATTTCTCAGATTGATTTACGTCATCGCTGAAATTCCTCGCCACCATAAAATCAAGATATATTACGAACCGCGCGGGATTACGGAAAATTTACCTTCGCCGCACACATAACTTTACGTTTTCAATTTGCATTTCATCTCGCTCTTTCTTTACGGCCGCTGCAAATTGCAACGCAACACCGTAAGCCGTCGTCGAGGCGCATCCCCGAGATACATCCGAAAATTTATTAATGAACACCTCAATAAAGTATTCGCAAGTCCAATTAAAAATAGATCCTGTCGATTACATATGTAACATATGTTTATCCAACTATAGTTTTAAATTTATCTCTTTTCAGAAATGATTGGTGAATTTGAAGATGACACCCACTTCTGCCTAAAATGCCACCTGACAATAATGGGGTTAGAAAACTACGTGGCACACAGAAAAGCGGGATGTTCCAAGACAGTGGTGGAACCACCAAAGTCGCCTCTGCCCAGTCAACTTCTACCACCTGATGAATCATTTAGCCTGAAAGCGGACGATTTTTTCTCGTCATTGGAATTGCAAAGCAGCAGCAAAAAGGCACGAACCCCATCGACTTCGGGAAAAACTTTTAGCAGGATTTTGACCAGAAGTAAAACAAATGCTGCCATACAAGGATCCAGTAAGGATCCCGATACAGGGCAATCTAAATCTGGAAAGAACGTGTGGATTGGAGGACAAGAATTAAAGTTAGGCTACGGCGATAATCAGTCTAAGCTTATTAAAGCTGTAGCGAATTTGGAACGACGTAAAGAGGACACTCTGAAACTCGATGAAAGTATTTACGATGAAAGCGGGGAAGATTCGGAGGAATTTGATTTTGAAGATGACGAATCTTCCGATGAAGACCAAGAACATCCTCCAAGACATCATACGGGTGGGAAGTGGAAACCATCTTCGCCTGTAGAGTGGAGTACTCCTACTCCAAGCTTTACTGGCGGCAAATGGAAGCCTGTCAAACGTTTACCTTCACCACCACCAAGTCATACAAAAGGCAAATGGAAACCGGATGGTGAAGATGTACCCCCTCCTACCCATACCAAGGGAAAATGGAAGCCCGATGATGATGCGCCACCACCCACCTTCACGGGAAGCAAGTGGGTACCTTCGAAGAAACAAGATTATAATGTTCCACCCCAAAATCACACTAAAGGCAAATGGAAACCTAAGTTTGATGAAGAAAGTCCACCACAAACGGGAGGTAAAACTAAATGGCGACCTAAAACTTTCGATGATGTATCACCAACAAGAAAAAATACAGAAGAAAAATGTCCACCGCCAGAATACACTAAAGGCAAATGGAAACCTTCAAATGATTCACCGAAGGAAAAACCTAAATTAAAAGAGAAGAAAACTGAAGAAAACCAACCATCTATTTCAGAAGAAGCAAAGAAACCCGATTTAAAACTCATCGATAACTCGATGTTTCGTAAATCCAACGGGACAATTCAATATTGGTGCAATCCATGCAATAGAAGATTAGCTTCAAAAGTAGTGTACGAAAGACATTTAAAATCAGAGCTCCATTATAAACGTACTCTTCGAGATAGAGACTTTGATGACGCAGGTAGTTTTATAATTCCAAAAGATAAACGAAAGACAAAGAAGTCAACAAATATGGCAGAGACAACCAAAAAACGTATTAGGAAGAAAATTTTCGAGAAGTGCGCTGTATGCAACTCTAAAGTTAATAGAAACATGATTGGCAAACATATGATATCGCACTATCATTGTAGAAAAGGCGATATAACTTCGGAAGAATCAAAGAAGATGATTCTGGATTATACCTACGAGTTTGTTTTGGAATGCCCATTTCAGTGCAGCATCTGTAAATTTTATTGCAATACACAGAACAATTTTTTGAATCACTGGCTTTCAGACCAGCATACCCAGCGCGATTTAGAAGTAACTGGTTACTATTTTTGCTCCTATTGTAATTGCAAATGTAAGGATTTAAAGCAAATGTACGAGCATTTGCTATCAGGGGAGCACAAAGAAGTAGTGTCAGTTATAAACAGATCGGTTCCTATAGTTATTAAGAAGATAAGTCCTATTCAGTGCGAGACTTGCAGACAATCATTTATGTATAACATTCAGTTAATACAACATTGCAAAAATTACAACCATCAATCTGATACTGCAAAGAAACTTAAAAATGAATATATATGCTGTAATTTGTCTTTTTCCAAGATGGTTGCTTTGTATAGGCATAAGAAAAGAGTACATAAGCAAGAAATATTCATCTGCAAGATTTGCAACTTGAAATTTGACAGTAAAAAGGAAGCTATGAGCCACAGAGTATCTTCACAGCATAAGTATGCGAAGAGAAAGGGAGATGTAAGCTTACAGAGAAAATGCAAACAATGTAAGGCAGACTTTGAAAATGTATTAAAATTAAAGGAACATATTAATGAAGTTCATCCGGAAAGCAAAGTCAAGTAAGTATTAATTCAGTTACAAATATGATGATTTTGTAATAATAATAATAATATTTAGGTGTCCAAGTTGTGGGGAATCCTTTACACTACCGCAGGATCTAACAACACATCTGAGAACACTTTCCTGCAAATTCGATTACAGTAAACGTCCTTTGGATGCATTATCCTGCGATAAATGCTTGTACATTACAACGTCAAAGGCGGAAATGATTTACCACAAAGTTAACCATGAAGATCCCATAATAACAGAAAGTAATACATGCAAAAAAGCTGTGGTACAGTACCATTGCCCATTGTGTAAACGATTATTTCCGAAGTCTTCTCTACTGGGTCATATAAGGAAACATACGTCAGAAAGACCGTTCAGTTGTAATATTTGCGGATCGTCGTTTTTGAGAAGAAATAATCTGAATGCCCACAAGAAACTCCACGAGAAGAAGGATGTGTTTGTTGATGAGAAAAATATCAAGGGCAAGAAGAAGAAGGGTATAGAAGGGGAGAGACCTTTCCTATGCTCAACTTGTGGCGCCAGTTTTAAAAAGAAGTAAGTAATTACTAAAGAGTATTTCAGTAGGAGTGATGGTTAATTGAAATTCCATGCAAATCAACTTTTGGATTGGGATTTCAAAAACCTTTTAATAAGAAACTACAACGTGGTGGAAATAATGACCACATTTAGTTTTAAATTGTTCTGAATAAGGTGGTGGTTTAATTAAGCAATGCTTAAATAATAATAAAAGTAAACATTTTCTTAATATAATCCTCGGAAAAATTTCCCTAATGGTTGCGCACGTCAAAAGAATGTTTCTAATATCAATAAAAATGTGATATGAACTAATTACAATAAATAAAGCGTTCTTCTTTAAGCCGGCGTTATCTGTTGTATTATGAAAATAATAAAGGGAATTTGCATAATGAGAAGTAAACTTGCGCTGAACATTGTCTGATATGAGTCATGCTAATGGTTTCTCTCCCCGAGTATCAAAATAATTACCAATATTTTCTTGTTAATTTACTGACGGATTTTTCGAGCCGTCTTAATCGAATCAAATTAAATACACAATTTACGTTTATACGAAAACTTAAATTTGTTTTACTGGCGACAGTAAATAAGTCTGTCTGCGCACCTTTGGAACTGATTACATTTACATACGAGACAAATATACCTTTACTGCATTTCTGATGTCTTTAATTGATGCACACGGTGGTCCTCAAGTTTATTACCACTAAACTCAGCTTTATTCCAGCAGCGGATATTCAAAAACGATGTTTAGATTTTATTACGTTCGAATGCTGTTAACACTTTTTATCACCTGTTCAAATCTTTCATCTAGATAAAAATGAAAACATTTAATTTAAGCTTTTCAAGAAATGTATCAATCTGAACAAGAACTACACTGAAAAAATAAGCTGTTGAAACAAAACAAAAATATGAATTCAACTCTTTATGCACTTTAAATACAAGCAATAGTTTTTGCACGTTTACTTAACCAAATGTCAAATTGTATTGTTAAATTGAACAACAAATATTAGCTAGTCAAATGAACAAAATGAGAATATTTGTTCTAATCTGCAAATCTGGTTAATTAAACAATCTTGATATGTCTATGATAGAGTAATATTTCGAAAATGGTTGTGCTAACATTTTTAAGATGTTAAGGTAAATTTCTTGAAATGTCCAGGTAACCTTTTTAGCATATTCACTTAACACCAATAAAATGTTAAATTAAAATAATTTGCGCTAATGTTGGGTTAATTAAATTATGGAATTAATATAAAGAGAAAGAATTGAACCTTCCCTCGCCAGAGTTTTTGTTTTGAGTGAGTTCCACCTACTTCAAATACCTACCGACATACAACTGATTCTACCTATATTGGGGGTCTTATCAGTCACTGATAATCAGTGTCGGGCAATTTGGTGTAGTGGAAGTTCCACTGTGGAACACACCGAAATCAAACGGCTACCTGAGCTTATATACTCCTATCGTAAGCCAACTGAGGCGAGATGTAAGAACATCACGTGATCAACACCGTCTAATGACGTGGCGTGGGTGTTCGAAGCGCCCTTCACGGCAATTTTATGAATGCAAAATTAACAAATTTTAAAGTAACATTTACAATTTGTTATATGAACAAATTTAATGTTTTGGATATAAAGAGCAATTAAACTTTAATTTAATAGTTTTTTTTGGGTAATCCTAAAAATTTAAGTATTTTATTCAACCAATTCCAGCTATTAAATCAAAATAGAATAAACATTTTAATTCAAAAAATTAGTTTATGTTAAATCAATATTTTAACTGCCAAATGAACAAAAACTTTGACAAACTCTGACTATTGCTTTGACACCAAAATATAGATTAATCCAATAGGTTTTTTGATGAAACAACATTTTCAAAAATGACATTTAGGCAAACGTTAACTCAACTACATTATTTTTTTCGGTGTAGTTTCTTCTATTCTATTTTTTTCTTCTAGTGCTGTTAATATCCCCAATAGCATTTTTGGAGGATGAAACGTACCACTTATAAATCATTCTATACACAACACTGACATTATTTTCTGGACATGACCATTAATCTCTCAAACATCTCACCCACCTAAGCGTCCATGGTTATAAAATGGCTTCCAAATTTAAAGAACTGTTGTTATAGTGAATATCTCTGCTTACATCAAGATAAAACCCCAATGACGATGTTAATAGTATTTATTATAGGCTTTGTCTGTTGTACTGGTGCAATAAAATCTACATATATGTAGATTCGCTTCTAATAAATATTTCAAGACTTACGGTCGTGTTTGATGATTCGGTGACATAGGAGAAATGTTTAATACATACAATATGGTATGGAACATCGACGTGGGTTCTACTTCTTGTTTCAAATGATTGTTTAGTGACTTTTAGTTGCTTAAAATCCTTTTTTATCGTTAAGTAACTTTTGAATAAAGCAGATATTAAATTAAACAACCCATTGTAGCCATTTACTTATGCATTCTGCAAAATTGATTTTAATATCACTTAACAGCATTCTGCTTTGTCTTCTATACAGCAAATAAAACGAGCGATCCTATTGGGTTCTTAGATGAACCTGATACTGATCTAAAGATCGTATTAATAGCTAATCAACAAGATGTTCTAGGGGATATTGGCCCTTAGAGCGATCGTGTTTATCACTAAAGCAGCTATTTTGTGATTTCTATCTTTAGTTTGTACTTTAAATGCAAAACTTTGTTTCTACGTTGTCAATGATGAACCTGTGTAGAACTACAGTTTTTAGGATATACACTCACAAGCAAAATAATCTATCCACACAAATTTTCGATGAATTTCAATCGCAAATAACTTTTTTATTTGATGTCGGATTTAAACGAATATTAAAGAATATTGCAGATAAATTAATGGACAATCGCTCACATTTTAAAAAATTACTAACGTAGGTTTATAATATACAGGTTTAAACAAAAATATATTTTTTACCATAGAGTGGCAAAACCTTATATTGTTCTAAATTAAGTTTTATTTATCAAGTCATATCTATTCTTAACAGTTTTGTTTTTGGTTCACCTCGATATATTTATTTTTGTGGAAAATATGGATTTTTAAAATATTTTTCTGTATGAAGAACTAAGGTTGCTATGGTCCATCCATATGCTATGGAGAATGACAGTGACGGTTTTGTTGAATCATCCCATACTTGGACACGGCTTTCAAAAGCTATCAAATTGTTTTTTGCAAATTAATGTTTAAATTTTGAGGTGTCTTCTCACTTTAAAAAATGGATATGTCCCCGAGTGATGTTGCCAGAGCCATTAATTTAATCCAGGATGGACTGACACAGTATTACGTGGCAAGTGTTTTAAACGTCACAAGAAGTAAAGTAGGGCAACATCAGTCGGAGAAATTTTTAAAAATAAGAAGACACCTCAAAATTAACACATTAATTTACAAAAAACAATTTGATAGCTTTTGAAAGCTGTATATGACATGTCCAAGTATGGGATGATTCAACAAAACTATCACTGTCATCCTCCGTAGGCTATGGATGGACCATAACAACCTTAGTTCTTCATAAAGGAAAAATATTGAAAATTTGTTTAAACCTGTATAAACGTACGTGTATTTTTTAGTAATTTTTAAAATGTGAGCGATTCTCCATTAATTTATCTACAATATTCTGTATTATTTGTTTAAATCCTAAATCAAATAAAAAAGTTATTTGCGATTGAAATTCATCGAAAATTGGTGTAGATCGATTATTTTGCCTGTGAGTGTAGTTAATTTTCCCTATTTTCCCTTATACAAAAAAGGAGTATAAAGACAAAACAGAGAGTGGATGGGTTAATTAATTTTGTTTACACACCTAACTATTGAAATTAATAACTAATTGAGCTGTTAATCAATGTCTTAATTTAAATGTTATACACGCATGGTAAAAGGTCAAAATTTAATTTTTTTTAGACATTAAACAATTAATCCTTATCTTGTTAAAAACCGTGATTTACGCATACATTACCGATTTATTATTTGTGGCTATACATTCAATAATTAATAAGAAAATTTTCTCATTACTTTTGATTTATTCGCTTATCGCAACCTTCAAGAGTTCCATATATCTTTCATGAAAGTGTTATGGATTAGCAACATCGCAACTACAGTTACAATGAGTTATGGTTGTCAATTTCCTCTTAATATTAAGAAAAAATTCTCGCGCGGAATAAATCACGGGATCATTACCTGTCATATTTCATAGTGTATATGGTCCAGCCCATAAATTACCCAAGGAGTGTCTATTGCACTTTTATTAATTGACGTTTATTTACGGCATTACAAAATGTCTTGTCTTAATTGATGATTGTAATTTATAATTATTTTTTGGCTCTCACGGTGCTTATCAACATTAGATTGAGCTTTAGAAAAGCAAAGTTTTACTAATCTTCCCATTATTATACTTATACTTATTCATTAGAAGTTTATGAAGAACGGTAAAAGATTGAAATTTGTGTAGCAATTTTGTAAATGTAAATTATTTTATTAAATTATTTACCAGGCGTTATCACATCCGGTTAAACCAGTAACTTTGGTTTTTCAAATGGAACCCATTGTAACATAATTTTCAGAGGTGTTGACGTTGACATTACTTCATAAATACTAAATAAAAGACAATCCATTGCACACTACTGATATTACAAATAAAAAAAATAAACGTTTTATTTAAATTTTTTGTAATATCTCTACTCTCTAACTAATTATAGGTAAGTCATATTTGACTAATTGTCATAGCGAAAAAGCAGTCACTAATAATTAGTCAAATTCTACTGAATGAAATAGTCAAATTAGTAGATTTAAATTTAAAAAAAGTTCTGACCCAGCCGGGGTTTGAACTCAGTCACATCAGTCACGTTCATAAAAATCATTTTTATTTGTCTATAAATATTGCTCATAATATTTTACAGTTGAATATATTTTTTGTGTTGCTGTTTTGAGCTAAACTAGAGGTGCCGCGAGACACGAGACGACACGACACGAGACGAGATAAAATCCTT